TTGTCCCTAACCACTCCTCTTTTCATAAGCAAAAGGACAATTCTTCTCTAGTGAAAGATGGGCTAGGTTGTGCAGATCCTAAGAACAACTAAAAATATTCAGTGAAAATCTTAAAATCATCAAAGAGTGAACAGGTTAGAAATTAAAGTGGGAATTCTGGTAAAGCCGAATATAGAAATTGCTTTGCCCTGAGAATATTTGCTCAACTGAGTACACTTGAACTTTGCCCGACAGAGTGCAGGGGACAGAATAAGACCAAAGCCCATCGAATATGCAATATGTAACAGGAAACCCTTCTTCGCACAAACTACTTCAGAGGACTATACTCTTAGGGTAGCGATGACCTAGAAGTAAATCCATCCCGTCCCCTCCTCCCCAGATGTCTTAGCACTGAGTAAAGTGGGGAAAAGGTCCTTGAAGAGTTAAAATCATTAGTTGGCTCTTAAAAGATTATGTAGCTCAAATACACCGTACAGTTTTGGCGATCTAAAAATCCTCAAGTCATGAATTTAAAGTGGTCTCAGTTGGTAGAGCCCATAGGTGCCTGGCAGAAGCAAATGCAGATCCCTGTGGTATAGCGATGCTGATATCAGATAAGAATTTTAGGCAAAATGTATTTTTAGAGACTGAATGGTCAGTTCATAATGATAGAGGTTTCAGTTCACCAGGAAGGCAAAACAGTGTTATATGTAACTAACGTGGCTTCAGTATTATGTAAAGTAACAGAAGTACAAGGAGAAATAGACGTTTACAGTAGTGTGATTTCTCAGTAATTGATAGAATAACAAGGTAAAATTCAGTAAGGATATAGATTATGTGAGTAAATAGTTAACAGTAAACCCAGTAGACATATGTAGAACCCTGTGTCTAACAATTCTAGAACACACATTCAAGTACACTCAGAACATTTACACGATTTGATTGTATACTGCTTCCTAATGCAAGTCTCCACAAATTTGAGAGGGTTCAAATCACACAGAGAATATCCTCTGACCACAATGCAGTTGAGGTAGAAATTGATAATAAGATGACTAGAAAATCTCATGTATTTTGGAAATTAAATACTTCTTAGTAACCCACGTATCAAGAAAGAAACAGTAATGAATATTAGAACATACGTTAGACTGAATGATAATGAAAATAATAATTCAAAGCTTGAGAGATGCAACAAAGTAGAGGTTGGCAGGAAATTTATATTCTTTTTTTAAAAAATTGTAGTTGACAGGGGCTTGGCTGAGTGTCTGACTCTTGATTTTAGCTCAGTTCATGATCTCACGGTTCGTAGAATCAGCCCTGCATCGGGCTCTGCACTGACAGCACAGAACCTGCTTGGGGTTCTCTCTCTCTCTCTGCCCTGTTCCCCCTCAAAATAAATACGTAAACATTTAAAAAGTTCTTAAATCTTAGCAAAGTATTTTCTTTCTTTTCTTTTTTTTTTTTTTGATAAATACCCAGAAGAAGAGTCGCTGGATTGTATGGTAGTCCTATTTTAATTTTTTGAGGAAACTCCATACTGTTTTCCATAGTGGCTGACCAATTTACATTCTCACCAACAGTACATGAGGGCTCCCTTTTTTCCACATCCTCACCAAGATTTTTTTTTTTCTTTTGGATAATAGCCATTCTGACAGGTGTGACGTGATAATCTCATTGTACTTTTGATTTGCATTTCCCTGATGATTAGTCATGTTTAGCATCTTTTCATGTGTCTGTTGGCTATCCGTATGTCTTCTTTGGAAAAATGTCTATTCATATCCTGGGCCCCTTTTTTTAATTGGATTTTGTTTCTGTGTTGAGTTGTATATGAGTTCTTGATATATTTTGGATATTAATCCCTTATGGAATATATCGCTTACAAATGTTTTCACCCATTCAGTAAGTTGCCTTTTTGTTTTGTTAATGGTTTCCTTCACTGTGCAAAAGCTTTCTGGTGTGATGTATTTGTTTGTTTTTGCTTTTGCTGTCCTTGCCTGAAGAGACAGATGTAAAAAGTATTTCAAAGATGAATGTCCAGGAATTTACTGCCTATGTTTTCTTTTAGAAGTTTTATTGTTTCAGGTCTTACATTTAAATCTTCAATCCATTTTGAGTTTATTTTTGTATACGGGATAAGAAAGTGGTCCAGTTTCATTCTTTTACATGTAGCTGTCCAGTTTTCCTGACACCATTGATTGAAGAGACTGTCCTTTTCTCATTGCATATTCTTGCCTCCTTTGCCATAGATTAATTGACCATGGAAGCTTGGGTTTATTTCTGGGTTTTCTATTCTGTTCCATTGATCTGTGTCTATCTTTGTGCCAGTACTCTACTGTTTGGTTACTATAGCTTTGTAGTATAGTTTGAAATCAGGCAGCATGATGCCTCCTGCTTTCTTCTTCTTTCTCAAAATTGCTTTGGCTATTTGGGGTCTTTTTGTGGCTCTGTACAAATTTTAGGATTATTTATTCTAGTTCTGTGAAAAATGCCATTGGTATTTTGATAGGGATTGCATTTAGTCTGTAGATTGTTATTGGTAGTATGGGCATTTAATACTATTAATTCTTCCAGTCTATGAGCCTGGAATATCTTTCCATTTATTTACATCATCTTTCAATTTTTTTCACCTGTGTCTTACAGTTTTCAGAATCCAGGTCTTTTCCCTCCTTGGTTAAATTTATTCCTAGGTATTTTATTCTTTCTGATGCAAGTGTAAATGACATTGTTTTCTTAATTTCCATTTCTGATAGTCCATTATTAGTGTATAGAAATGCAGCAGATTTCTGTACATTGATTTTGTATCCTGCAACTTGATGGAATTCATTTATTAATTCTAGTAGTTTTTTGGTGGAGTCTTTAGAATTTTCTGTATTTATTAGCTTCATGTTATCTGCAAATAGTGACAATTTTACTTCTTTTTTTTAACCAATTTGGATGCCATTTATTTATTTATTTAGTCTGATTTCCAGTACTGTGTTAGATAAAAGTGGGGACAGTGGGTGTCCTTGTCTTTGTGATCTTAGAGAAAAGCTTTCAGCTTTTCATCATTGAGTATGACATTAGCTATGAGTTTGTCTTATATGGCATTTTTTATGTTGAGGTGTATTCCCTCTGTACACTCTTTGTTGAGAGGTTTAATCATAAATGATGATAAATTATATCATTGTATTTATCATTGGATGTTGAATTTTGTCAGATGCTTTTTTTATCTATTGAGATGATCATGTATGTGGCTTTTATCCTTCATTCTGTTAATGTGGTGTATCATGTTGATTGATTTTAGTATATGGAAACATCTTTGCATCCCTGGAATCAATCTCAGTCATGGTGTATGATCCTTTTAATGTACTGTTGATTTAAGTTTGCTAATATTTTGTTGAAAATTTTTGTTTCTGTATTTATCAGAGATATTGGTCTGTAATTGTGTGTGTGTGTGTGTGTGTGTGTGTGTGTGTGTGTGTGTGTGTGTGTATAATCTCTTTTCTCTGGTTTTGGTATAATGGTAATGCTGGCCTCACAGAATAGGTTTGGAAGCGTTTCTCCTCTCCAAGTTTTTGGAATAGTTTCAGAAAGATAGGTATTAACTCTTCTTTAAATGTTTGGTATTTACCTGTGAAGCCATCTGGTCCTGGACTTTTGTTTGTTAGTAGTTTTTTGGCTGCTGATTCAATTTTATTCATTTTTCCTTCCAAGTGATTTAGAGTATAGGAAACATACCCAGTTTGGGCAAGAAGTGACCTCGGTAGGAAATTTACCTCCAGACATTCTAGAACTTTAGATTTAATGAGAACAGCTATATCAAAACCCTGTTTCCATTACTGAGGGACTATGTCCCTGGAAGTGTAGCCTCTTTTACTGAGGTTTCCTAACTGCCTCTTCCTGTGAAAGAGAAGATCATCTAGATTTTTAGCTCCTTTCCATGAGCATCTCAGCCTGAAGTCTGTACTCCCACTAGGGAGGTTCTTAACATAAAGCTCGGCCCAGTTGCTCGCCCCCACCTACCCCAGCCTTCGTTCTTTCCCTTTTCTTAACACTCTTGGCTGTGAGTAGACCCTGCAGGCTCCCACTCCCCATGAGTATACCCCCCTCTCCAACCTTCTCTCTGTCTTGTCGGTTTCCTTCAATGCATGATGGAGCTCTCAGCACAGAGAACTGAGCCTACAGGGGAAAAATTAAATGAATTAGTTATGTCACTGGAAACACGCTGCTCCCTGATTATTAACTTTGAGCTGGGAGGTAGGAGGTGAGTAGTTTCTTATCCATTGATAAAAGAGTTTCACTTTAAGTTATGAAGTTAAAGGCACGTGTCAACTTCTGGGAATAAGTGAACAATTTGGAGAATTTAATCTCTTCTAGTGTTGGTTTGGATAGGCGTTAAGAGCATGAGGAGCATGAGGTGAGGGCACTGTACATTTCAATTTGAACCAATCCCCTGTGACTGTCAGCCCTTCTCTCTACTTGTTGGAATTAATTGACTCTTCATGTTGCATTATAGGCCCCACCTTTGGTGAAACTTGCCCCAGCCATTCGATTCTTGAGCTTGCTCTCTTATTAGTGTCCATAATACTCACTGCTTTTTACTACTCTCTTGGTTTTGAGCATATGTTATTTGATACTATTTGATATCTTCTCACAGGAAATGACTCATCTGTTCCACTAGATTCTGTGCCTCCACAGCTCAGGGACTGAGTCTTGGAGATCTGCGTATTCCCTGGAAGCACCTCACATAGCACCTTGTGCCATTTGCCATTAGCAGAACGAACTGACTCAGTATCTGATAGTTCTGCACAGTGAGAACAGTTTAGGGTTCTTCTTGCAGCAGCCTGCAATCTCAGATGGGTACAGATAGGCACGGAGAAATCCCGTACAGAGCTGTGAATAAACAACTAGATGTATTTTCTGGAGGAGGCGTAGGTAGGAGGTCAAGTCCCTAAGGGGGAAGGATGGAGGGAAGTAAGCCCGGTGTTAATTTCATTTTTCTCCTATTAAAATGCCCTTCTTGCATCCTTGGTCTCTTTTCACAGAATCCTGCCATCAGCATCACTGAAAATGTGCTGCATTTCAAAGGTCAGTATCCGGGCAAATGCTCCCCGCTTTCTACACAGCTACAGAGGCGTGGTGGTGGTTTCTTTTTCTTTTTGTCTATTTGTTTTATTCACTTTCTATTGATGCTCACCTCTCTGCTGCTCTTGGGGTAAACTAGATGGTTTTGAAATACATGATTGAAAAAGTCAAAGAACTTATTTAAAGTCCCACTTTTCTCTTGGAGAGGCAGTAGATAGAGCAAGAAAGAATCCCGAGCTGGAAATCAGGAGCTCTATCTTCTAGTTCTAATCCCGCTATCACCTTGGACAACTTACTGCCTTCTGTGGACCCATAAAATGAAGGTATTTGGTTATAATCTGTGTTTCTCAAACTTTAGGAGCAATGGACACCTGAAAATATGTCCTAAGGATCCTCCCAGGCCATAGGCCCCAGTTTGAGAAAACATGTTAAGAATTAAATATGGTCACTTTAAGTGATACTTGGCTCTATTGCAGCTGTGAACATGGCCACAAACACAGCTGCTAAACTTGTATGTCAGTAGTTGATTATAATGTAGCCATCTAGATAATCCAGACTATGATTTTTTTTTTAAAGATTATAATCAAAACAAAAAATAGAAATTTTCTGAATAGATTTTGCAGCTCCCTGATATGGTACAGTCAAAGGCCAGTTTAAGAAACATGGCATTCTGGATGATACCTCGAGCCTTTGCTGCTCTGACAGTCTTTGTTTCTGTGAACTTGCCTCTGTCTCCTTTCTCCTTAGTTTGTCAGCAGATATGCTGCTGGGCCTGAGAGGGTAGGTCCAGATTCATTGTCACCCAATGGGATGGGATTCTCCCTGCTCTCTCTTTGTTCTAGTTCTTTGGAATGCCATTACTAAGAGACTGGGGTTATGGGATATTGACGAGTTTCTGCTTTACTTGAGATTCCATCTACCTTGGTATATTTGCATGAAAGCCACAGCCTGGCTTTCGTATCTGCTTTTCAAGATGAGAACACTTGTAGCAGCTCAGATTTTTGGGGTGTTATACATTTGAGAGAGGAAGTTAAGTGATGAAAGTGTATCTTGCCAGTTGGAGATTATGGACTGCTCAACCTTAAGGAATTTATGGTCCTAGAGAACAGTAGCCACCTGTATATAGCAGATATTAGGCAAGTTGTACCACATATGGCCAGATGAGGAATGAGAATCCAGGAGGGAACCAAATGATAGACAAGTCAGAGAGTTAGAGAGGAAGGGATGTCTAGCAGTCATTGGCACCTAGGCACGGCACCTGCTTGATTTGGGGAAAGGAGCCATGTCAAAGCACAGGAATGGTGTAATGAGCAACCCAGGGATTTTCATCCCAGATCCATTTATCCTCTCTTAGAAATGAGCCGAGGAAATTATATTTCTCTTTTTCATTCCTTTTGGGATGTGCTAAAGGAGAAGTGAGCATCTCCTTTTTCTGTCATTGGTAGGGAGATGTTAGATTCAGAGCTTTCTCTGAGACAGTCCAGCACTTCTGTGTTCTCCACACAACTCTCCTTAACTGCAGTCAAGAGAATACGCCCACCTGATATTTCTCTGTTCTGAATTCAGCACCAAAGTAAATGTGAAAGTTAAATTTATATCTATGTGATACCTTTGGCTTTGCTTTCTGTATTGCTTTTCCTGCCTCTTATTTGTACTGGGTATTATCAAGGCCACATTGGAAGATTCAGTAAATATTCTGGAACTGATCATTAGAAGGACATGTGGAGATAAAACTTTTGTCTGGGATTCGGCTTATCTAGCTGTCGAGTAGTTCTGCTCACAAACCCCTACTCATTTTGGAAGGACCCATTACTATTTGTATGCTTCTGAGAGAACTGCACCAAGCTTTTGGATGGCCTTGCTCTGCCTGTTCACATTGTAACCCACATTTCTTTCTTTTTAGCTCAGGGACATGGTGCCAAAGGAGACAATGTCTATGAATTTCACTTGGAGTTCTTAGACCCTGTGAAACCAGAGGTATGTTTTCTCTTTTCTCACTTCCCTTTCCATTTTAGGAAATAAATACTAGTAGTTCAGTAAAATAGGAGGGCAAGGGAAATAAGATGTGGGGGGAAATAAGATGAAAACCAAAGGAGAATATGGTTCTTTTATTGGGAACTGAGCCCAGATTTTAGCTGCAAAGGAGTAGGAAAGTCAGAGAACCTGAGGTGATTAGCAGTGCGAACAAGTCTCTTCACTTCTTTGAGTTACAATTTCCTCGTGTGTGTTAAATGGATGATTGGACTAAATAATCTTTAGGGTCCTTTCCAGCTCTGATGTTCTGTGGTTTTCAGTGAAGACAGAGGGGTGTGGCGCTCACAGGGAGCAGAGTTACGTAAGCTAGGTAAAGCCCACGCCAGGGGCTTACTTTCATGTGACTTTGCCACAGGGGCAGTAGAAATCCGAAAAGGTGGAGGCAGCTGACCTTCAGAAAGAATGCTGGAAGTATAATTGAAGTTTCCTTTCTCTCAGAACTCGAGGAAGTTTTTCTGACAGGAAGAGAGAGAATCTCACAGATGGTGTATTGAAGTTTCTGGAATTACTCTCTTATCTCTGGGGGCCTGGGCATATTGATCTCTCTGTGCAGGAGGGGTCCGTTGTTTTGGTTGTTTTAATAGCCAGCAATAGTGTAAGGGATAGAGAACCTGTCATAGGTCTTGCCTTGGAGGTAAGGAAGGAAGAGGCTATGTGGAGGAATAATGAACTGGAACAGCCTCTCAGAATTTGAGTTTTGTTGGGAAGATGCCCTAGGCTGGCCCTTGTGATAGAGTTGTCATTATCCACTAAGTATCCACTAAGTTCCAGTCTTGAGTAGACCTTTCTAAAAAACAAGGGCTCGCTAGGCCAGGGAATGTTGACCACTTGAATTCAGTCATCTTCATGGGAGAGAAATGTGGACAGTGAGGATGCACTGAGAGAGTGATTGGAAGTCATGCCTTGCATGATACAGGTCTGGCAGGAGGTTCGCCTGGTTTCCTCCAGGAAAACCGAAACTATATGCCTTTCTCACCCTGATTTCCTCTGAAGTCATTTGCTGGAGGAATCAAAGAAACAGAGCGCCATTCTTAGCAGTTCTTGGCTATCCCAGCCCTTGGTCCAGATGTTCTCCTTGCATCACGGCTTGTAGGAATGGAGGAGGAAGGGGAGTGAGCATATATTGTGAGCTTCTCTGGGTAGCTACACTGGCTTGGTGCACTTGTCGCAGGAGGAGTGAGGGATGGGAAGGCAAGGGCACTCTCACATTCTCACTTTCTCTTCTAGCCGGTTTACAAACTGACCCAAAGGCAGGTAAACATTACAGTACAGAAGAAAGTAAGTCACTGGTGGGAGAGACTCACCAAGCAGGAGAAGCGCCCACTGTTTTTGGCCCCCGACTTTGATCGCTGGCTGGATGAGTCTGATGCGGAAATGGAGCTCAGAGCCAAGGTCAGTAAGGACCTGGATCCTAGTAAAGATCTAGACAAATCAAAAAAAAAAAAAAAAAGATCTAGACAAATCATAAAGAACACAAGTTATTTGGGCTACCTCAGATACCTATTTGGCAGGTATCTTTATCTATCTGATAGAATAAAGACAAATTCAGTTAAAGACACAAATTCAGTTAAAGACCTGGAAACATGGTTTTATAGAAGTACTGGACATGTATTTTGTATTTTGTCTCTCAACTGGGGTGTGTCGAATGTTTTTCTTATGATTAGATGGGGTGATGGGTTTGGGGGGAGGAAGACCACAGAGGTTTAATTCTTACTGTGTCGTATCAAGGGCACATACTATCAGCATGATTTATCACTGTTGATACTGATCTTGGTCATCTGGCTGAGGTAACATTTGTCAGATTTCTCCACTGTAATGTTACTCCCCCACCTTTCTTTACTTTGTACTTTTTGTTTAAATTAAAAAAATATTTTTCAATGTTTATTTTCTTTTGAGAGAGACAGACAGAGCGTGAGCAGGGGAGGGGCAGAGAGAGAGGGAGACACAGAATCTGAAGGAGGCTCCAGGCTCTGAGCTGCCCGGCTCAAACCCACAGACCGCGAGATCATGACCTGAGCCAATGTCGGACACTTAAACCGACTGAGCCACCCAGGTGCCCCTACTGTGTACTTTTTGGATGGAAGTCACTGTGCATAGCCCATGCCAAAGGAGTGAAGAGTGATGCTTTCCAACTTTAGGGTAGAGTGTCTACGTACTTTATTTGGAATTTTTCCACATGGGAGATTTATCTCCTCTTCATTTATTCAATAATTTGTTTATATCAGTATGGACTGATGAATATTTTATATTTGGGTTATAACCCAGTACTATATTATTTATTTTGTTGTTTGTGTTGTTCCAGCTTTGGCTATTGGAAGCTTTTTCAGTTGACTCTTGTGTCCCTTTGACAAAGCTCCATCACTGTGGGGTGCTTTTTTTTTTTTTTTTTTTTTTTTTTTTTTGACATTCTTAATTTCTAGCACTATAAGCTGCCCCAGGCTTATCTTGTATATTCCCTGCTCCAGCCCTAGAGTCAGCCATTCTTCAAGGAGCTCTGTTCTTTTTATTGAAGGATAATAGTGAAAACCAAGATCTGGGCTCTAGATATTGCTTCTAGGCCCTCTCAGGTAACAGAATGAGCAACTAACTATATGCGTGCATGCAAATCCTACCTATATTTATAAATATTTCTGTACATATCTATCTATATATTGACCAGATGTGGGTTCTTACTGATGTTGGCGACATGATTTTAGCTTCTGGAAAAATTATACTAAAAATCTGGAAGTCTCAGAAACAACAACAACCAAAACTGCTGTCTATTTACTGCCTTAAAATTCTGTTTAGTTCCTACGACCATGACACATCTTCTGGGTGTCTTTTCCAGCTCCATGATTCTAAGACTATCCACTTTGTAGTTTGGAAGCCAGCTGATTGGTTTAATTCTGTGAGCATTGGAAGGGCATTCTATGATGCTAGCACTACCTAGTAGGAGGAGTCAGTCTTTCTGGCACCATTAGCTAGGCCGTTTGCCCCAGTGAAATATGAACACAATTGGAGGAAGTGGCTTTGAGGGAGTCAGATCACTTATCCTGCAGGTGGACTTTTGCAAGCATCTGGGAATCCTAACCTGTGTTCTTGGAAATCTGTCCAAATTCTAGGAAGAAGAACGCCTAAATAAACTAAGAATTGAAAGCCAAGGGTCCCCTGAAAGTAAGTTGCCCCCACGGCTGTGGGAGTTACCAGTTAACTAATGATAGAGATGGGGGTATGGAGGGGTGCGAACAACTGAGCCACCTAGGTGCTCCCTGATGAAATGAATTCTTTAGGATGGGGAAGTATAATACATTTTTGTAGTTTTGAAGAAAAAAGTGTAGTTACATGTTGCGAAAAGTCTGACTCTTGGCTTCTCAGGACTGGGTTGCGTTTAATTGAGCACACTATTTAGTGTGATTATTTGAGCATCAGCCAAGGGTTATATGCAGAATATCTGTAGCCTAGGAATAAATATGTAGCAGGAAAATTTGAACTCCATAGCTCTTCTCTTGAGAACTGTCCCATTTCCTGTGTCCTACCCCTTTGACTCAACCGTGACTCTAAGTTCCTTACTCCTTCCTTAACTCTGTAATTGGCTGTGTCTTCATGAGCCTTAGGCTGCAGACAAAATTAATGTTCCTTATCCTCCTGCATCTCAGTCTGTAATTTTCCTTCTTTGGTTATATCCTCATCCTACCCATCTTCCAAAGCCCAGAGCAGGCATCGTCTCATCTATGCAGACTGCCTGATTCTGACTTCCCCAGCCTAATGTCATTTTCTCACCTCGAAATTGTCACAAGACATTACCTATTACTCTCGATTTTGTATTACAGCTTTCAGATTATAAGTTCTTTGAGGGCAACATCAAGTCTTAACATCTTTGAATCCCAGTAGTGCCCCCTCAGTACCTTGCATGTTGGAGGTGTCCAGTTAATACTTGGTTGAATGAATATATGATCAAATGTCAGAATTCTTTTTTTCATTGTGTTCCTATTTCTTTGAGCTACTTTGACCTACATGGCCTTAAAAAAATTCCAGGAAGAAGAAACTATAGATAATATAAAAATGGTAAGAGCAGGAGCTGAGTATAGCTTTATTTACCTTCTTTAATGCCCTCTAAGGTGGTCATTCTTTGCCAGAAGTAATTTGTCTTTATTCTCCTTGGACTTATGTCTGTGTACTTACCCTTCAAGGCTATGAGGGGAAAGACTACTAAAAACATACCTTGGAGTGCAATGTTCATAATTTTACCCATTTCTCTGTGGCACTAGGAGCCCAGGCTGGCACAGATCTGGGCCAGATATCTTTTTGGGAGCTTAGGGCACCCAGTGGGAAAGTGGGGAGAGGTCACCCAGGTATGCCCCCCATACTCCCTCCTGCTGCACCTACCCCTTGTAACAGTTTACTGTCTTGTTTTGCTTTTCAGCTCTTACAAGCTTGAAGAAAGGATACCTGTTCATGTATAATCTTGTGCAGTTCTTGGGATTCTCCTGGATCTTTGTCAACATGACTGTGAGGTTCTTTATTTTGGGAAAAGGCAAGCACAAAATTTCAACATTAGTTTTCTGTTTTCAGTAGTTTGACCTACTACTCACCAAAGGTACTAATAATACCCTGCCTCTGGTGTTAATAATAACCCCCCATGTTTGTGTGGCACACATGCCTTCCATTCTACTTTCATGTCTCTTATTTCCCTTGACCTTGTGAAACAAGCAGACTGGAGATTGTGTGCACAAGTAGACTGGAGATTGTGTGCACTTAACATGTGCACAAACAGGCTTAGAAATGGTCCCCATTCACACAGCTGGCCGGAGGCACATCTTGGGCTAGCATTCCTTTCTCTGTTCACTATATGACAGTTCATTTATAACCAAATAGACTTATGTGGTAATTTCAGTGACAAAGTTATGCAAGTCCTATTCCAAAATTGAATGAAAGGACTATCATAAAGATGTTAGTTCTTGATGAATTAATTTATATGTTTAACAGAATTCTGGCAAAAGTAAAGACAATGGAAAGTTTTTGAGAATGTGATCTAAAGTATTCTAAAATTATATTATGAACAATAAATAGGTAATAAAATTTGGAGGAAGAAAGGATAATGGGAGAGTACTTTCTCTGCCTGACAGGAGAGAATAATTAACATAGCAATTATTAAAAAAATAGCAGATTAGGTGGTCCAGAAATAGCTCTTACATTATAATATATGTATGTATGTATATGTACACACACACATACACACATATATATAAATTATATAAATATTATAAAAAAGAAATAATGAATCAATGGAAGGGGAAATATTACCCAATACTTTTTTACTGGATGGGAATTCTAATAATATTTCCAGGGACAATTGGTTAGGTTTGGATACATGAGGCAGGCAAGGAATCTCTTTGACTCTTTTCCTTACATTGTATACAAAAATAAATTCCCCCGAAGGATTTAAGAGTCATGTATCAAAATTTTAAAACATAACAGAAGGGGCGCCTGGGTGGCGCAGTCGGTTAAGTGTCCGACTTCAGCCAGGTCACGATCTCGCAGTCCGTGAGTTCGAGCCCCGCGTCAGGCTCTGGGCTGATGGCTCAGAGCCTGGAGCCTGTTTCTGATTCTGTGTCTCCCTCTCTCTCTGCCCCTCCCCATTCATGCTCTGTCTCTCGCTGTCCCAAAAATAAACGTTGAAAAAAAAAATTAAAAAAAAAAATAAAACATAACAGAAGATATAAGTTAATGTTTATAACCGTCTCATGTGGAAGGTTAGTACTTTCCAAGGTTAAAAGTGTTAGCGGAAATCATGAAGAATAAGGTCAATATATTTGACTAAGTAAAATACCTAAATTCCTGTGTATCTAAAAATACCCCAGCTAAAACAACACTAAAGATTAAAAGCCTATTGAGGCTAGTAGCATGGGGATGAAGGGTTGGTGGAAAATTGCAACAAATACCTGCAAGGGTTGATTACCTATAAAGAGTATGTTACAAATTGATCCAAAAATGTGACAACTTCATCCAATAGATAAATAAACAGAAGTCATGTGCAGGCAGTTCATAAAAGGAAGTAAAGCCAATTTAATGTACAGAAAATGTTTAACTCAATAATGATGAAGGAAATAAAAAGATTTTTATCAGTTTTTCAAAGTTAAAAAAGATACCTAATTCAAGAGGACATTTGCTAAAATACACAGTAGTGGCTACTGGGAGGGTACATAAATATGACTCTCTTGGAAAATCATTCGGCAAAGCACATCAGGAACCTTAACTGTTCATATCCTTAACCCTGGTTATTTCACTTCTCGGAATATGTTCTAAAGAAGTCATTGAAACTACAAAAACAGCTTTTTCAAAAAGATCTACATTATGGCATTACTTTTATTACTGACAAGTTAGAAACTACCTAGATGTCCATCAACGAGGGATTACTTTAGAATACTTACTCAGTGGAATGATGAGAAGCAGATATAAAATATTCAAGGAGTTTGTAGTGACATGGAGAAATATGATAGGCTAAGAAAGTAATATATAAAGTTGTTCTTCCAGCTTCATCACATCTGCATAAAAAGCGGAAACAACTGAGCCAATACATGCAAAAAGATCGGAAGGAAATGCACCATTTCAGATGGTTTGGATGTGGATAATTTAGACATTTTCCCTTATTTTATAAAATAAAAATGAGGAAAAATATAAGTATAATGGAATATATAAACTCTTTTAAAAGAGGAATAAAAAATCCTGTAGTCTGTTTAATTTTCAGTCCTAAATTTTCCAATCTGAGGTTGGTAGTACGTGAACTGCAGTTAGCTCGAGTCATTTGAAAGAAGCGCATGTTGTTTTCCCAGCCTTCTCAACACCTTAGAATTCTGCAAAGCACAGTGGCAGGAAAAACTTCCCAGCTGCCTAGTGTCTTACAGCCCCAAGTGATCAGAGGTCTACAGATGAGTTACTTAAAAAAAAGAAGGCAAGTCTCAGACCTGTAGTTTTTATTTCTCTGGGTTTATCACAAGGTCCACGGAATGAACAGGGACATGCAAATACATAAATAATTTAACATAGTTAGATGGATTCTCCACGTTCCCGTGCAAGCCTGCTGGCCATCAAGTGATCTAGTCCAGAAGCTCCTAAGTTATTTGGGTCATGTGTTTAAGCTGCTTGGATTTGTAATTTCTATTTTGGCGCTCAACCCCTTCCTAACCCCCTTCTGGAATGGAGCTGCTGGTTTAATTCTTCCCTTATCAGTCCTCAAAAACGTAGTAAGGACTTGGGGCCTGGCACTCAATTTGCCCTTAACACTTTTCTCCTTTTGAACAAAGGGTGTTGGGAAATAGCAAATACCACACATATACTTAAGCACGTATTTCCCAAACTTCTTATGCTAAGGAAACAGAAGCAAATTTTTGGGCTTATGTAGAAACCCTTGTTTGAGCTTATCTAGCTCCCTGTTAAGGAATGCTTTTTTTTTTTTTTTTT